CTTTCCTTTCATTTTTGCTTCTGACTCCACCTCTATTGTTCTTGAAGGAATTGGTTATAATCCAATTTAGAATCAGCCATCAGAAGCTCTATGATTCTAACAGTTTTGTAATGAGAAGTGGAATACCTGATTTTGAGGATTATCCATGGCCTCTTCCTCTTCCTTTCTCCTCATCAGTCATTTACTATACACTAGCATACCAGAGGGCAGGCAGAAAACCAGAAAGGACACAGTAGATTGCTTATGAAATCTTGCTAAGTTGATAAATTAAGGAATAAATGATGTCAAGTCAAGTAGTTTAGTTATAGAGTTTAAGAGATAAATTATATAGTTTAAGTTATATATAAGAGTTATATATAAGAGTTATATATGAGTTAAGTTATATAGTTTAAGAGATAAATTAATATGGGTAGACTATAGGGCCATCCTAATAATTCCTTCAAGTGGATGGAAAAGTAGCAACTGAAACTTTATGTAGTCACTTCATGAAAAAAAAATCCAAATTTTATATTCAAAATAACAGAGGCACCTGGGTGGCTCAGTTGGTAGAGCGTCTGACTTCGGGTCAGATCATGATCTCGCAGTTTGTGAGTTTCAGCTCCACGTCGTGCCCTGTGCTGACAGCTCAGAGCCTGATGCCTGCTTCGGATTCTGTGTCTCCCTCTCTCTGCCCCTTCCCCACTCATGCTCTGTCTCTCTCTGTCTCTCAAAGATGAATAAATGTTAAAAATTTTTTTTTATATTCAAAATAATGAACCAGAAGAGAATCCTGGGGGTTAGTGCTAACCATTTTCCACTGACATGTCAATTTCCTGCTACAGGAAAAAGCCTACATGGTTTTGAGTAGCTCAGCGATAAAGGAAATAGAAGTTATTATCCCCTTCATGAAGAAGGCTGTGGAGCTGGTGCCTCTAAAATACTTAGCCCTGTTCTGTATGCTCCAGTGACAGAAAGACATAATGAAACTGGAGGAGAGCCAGAGAAAAGAAGCCAAATTGGCAGGTAAGAGGAAGACTAGAAGCATTTAAGTTCTTAGAAAAAAGAGTCCTAGATTCTTAGAATTGGAACTATTCTTAGACATCAAATATACCAATTCCTTATGCTTCCAGAATATTCCTGATGAATCATAAATAGTTTAGTTATCAGAGGCCTATGATATGCTGGGGACTGACTAGAATCCTTCCCTTTTTTTGCAGCCTATGTCCAAATGATCACATCAAATATATCTCAAGTGCAGTCACTTCTCTGACATCCACTGCCATCATGCCGGCCCAAGTCATCTTTCTTTCTCATTTCGGCTGCTACAATAGCACTGTAACTGGTTATCCTCTTCTTCTCTGCTCCTCATAACCATGTTCCAACTTCCCAATCCATTGCAACCAGAGTGATTGTAAAACACAAATTAAATCATGTCATTGGCTTACTTAGAATACTTCAATGATTTTCCATCTACTTCAGGATCAAGTCCAAAGTAATAAACATGGTCCTGAATGATTTGGCTCCTGCCTCCTTTACTAATAGCCCTTAGCTTTGCTTTTTCCTTGGCTCACCAAGGTCTGTCCACATTGGCTTCCTTTCAGTCCCTATAAAGCTAAATGCTTTCCCACATAGGACCATCCCATATAACAATAACCACCACCACCACCATTACAGCTAACATTTATCAAGTTTTTACTATGCGATTGGCTCTGTGAGAAGTGCTTTAAGTGCATTATCATATTTAATCCTCACAAGAAACTCCATGAGGTGTTTTTTTCATCCTTTTACTGTTGAGAAAATAATATTTAGAGAAATTAAGGTATTTCTCTAAAGCAAGGTAAGTCCAAAGGTGAAAAGTATGCTATATTGCATATTCCAGTAAAGTTCTTTGTCTCTACCCTTCCCTAGCTAGATCATACCATGCTTTATGGTCACAAATCATATGTCATTTCCTCAAAACAGTCTTCTCTCATTTTCTGGTCTAAATTTGGCACCTGTGTCATAGTCTCTTAAACTTTTCCTCTATAGAATGTATCACAGTTTGTCATTATGTATTTCTTTATATAGTTGTTATTTATTTAATATCGTCAAACCTCCAACAGACTTTAAGTTTCATGAAGGCAAGGATCATAGGTCCAATAAATGTGAATGAATATAAATATAAAAAGCTGCTGAATACATGATTGAAGAAAGTCATCCAAACATTGTAAGAATGAGGTGTTGAATCACTCCATGGGAGAGTCTAAGTGTTAGAAATTCTATTAAAATATTTTTGTCTACAAAAAAAGCTGTTCCCTTATAATGTCTATTCACTGATCCTAATTCTGGTCTCTTGACCCATACTGAAAAACTGGATTCTTTTCTCTTTTATACCTCTTTAAATATTTTCAGTCTAGAAAGTTAAAGGCAGAGAAGACTGGCAATTAAGGTGGGATAATTCCAGATTTATTCATAAAAAATAGAATGTTAGAGTGAAGAGGACAAAAGGGTATCTTTTGGAATTCCAGATATATTTAGGGCACATTCACAGCAATTATTTGCCTACACTACATGAATGTAAGAAGAACACAGACCTGAGATATTGATGGGGCTGCTGCTGTTGGCATGCTATCATAAACTGCGTTCTGATGTGTATAGATCAAGAAAGAAACAAAACTGGAGGATGTCCAATTAAAGACAATTAAAAGACTTTCAGAAAGATTGGGAAAAGTAAAAACTAGCTATTCAATTACCACTAACCTGAGATGTCTCAAAATTACAAGACTGATGTCAGGAAGTGCGATCATATCTTCCCGTAACTCTTGTGAGTTCTGTTTTAACAGAACTCTGGATTAGATAAACTATATTTCTAATATTTTGAAATTAAGAAGATAAAATAAAAGCTGGGGATTACCAAGAGGCAAAAATAAAATATTCTTTAGGCATTACATATTTTTAACTCAATAGAGCCACTAAACTTCTTTTTTAAGTCTTCATCTCCTATCTTGAATGAGAAAGATGGAGCCTCAAATATGAAAAGGCCCTTTTGTTTGACAATATATTTGACACTTAAAACCTTTCGACAACTTGTAGGCCAAGTGGCTGTTAAACCAACACGAAACATCCCTAGCTATGTTAAATGACTTGATGGTGGGGGGATCCTTTCACAAAGTATATGTATATCAAATCATCAAGTACACTTTAAATATCTTATAACTTTGTCAACTCTACCTCAATACACTTTGGATTTTGAGATGTAGGTTTTGAGTTTGGAGCTCTAGGTTTTAATCTCAGCTCAGCAATTTATTAGCTATGTAAATCTGAACAGGTTTCTTACCGTGCTTCAGTTTCCTCATTTCAAAAACCAGAATAACAAACTGTGTCTTGTCAAATTGTTTGAGAACTGAATGAAATACCACAGTATTAAAAATCACCTAATATTATGCCTGGGATATAGAAAATGATCAATAAATGTTAATTTCTCTCCAATAACAGAAATCCACTCTCTGCCAAAGCACTCCATTTCCTCTTTGGGTAACACTAGCAATGGGTTCTTATGCTATGTGGAACTAGTCCAACATTACCAGGTAAATTACGCTTAGAAGTTTAATATAAGATATTATATTAAGAAAAGATGCTCTTCATTGGTATTTTAACTTTGGCTATTAATTCTAGTTTGTATATATTTCTTAAGCAATTTATCACTCTGAAGTGGCAGAATTTAATTTCTTTGAGTGACCTTAGAAAAATATGAGTTACAATTATATTTGAGGAGAAGTCTTGAATGATCTAATTGATATAAATAAATACTCCATTGAAATTTTCCTTCTCAGTAAAAACAAAAACAAGAAATTCTTCTAGTGATTCAGGATTAATTGGTATGGCAATGATCTTTTAAGATTAAATGGAGCCTTCTTATTTTTTATTAAGAATAATGACTAAAAATAACAAGGAGGGTGCCTGGGTGGCTCAGTTGGTCGTCTGAGTCTTGGTTTCAGCTCAGGTCATGATCTCACCATTCATAACTTAGAGCCACATGTAAGGTTCCGTACTGACAGCCAGGAGCCTGCCTGGGATTCTCTGTCTCCCCTCTCTGCCCCTCCCCTGCACGTTCTCTCTCATTCTCTCTCAATCTCTCTCTCTCTCTCTCTCTCTCTCTCTCCCCCTCCCTCCTTCTCTCTCTCTCAAAATAAATAAATTAAAAAAAAGAACAACAAAAGATAAGAATATCAGAAATGTATTGCTGTTTTACTACAAGACCAGAAAATATAATTGTTTAGTTACTTAAGATTGCAAAATAACTTTTAAGAAAATTTTATTTTTATCTAAGTCATAAGATAGGTTAGAGAGAATAGAATTTGCTCATTTAACCTATTAAATGGTACCACTTGCTTTTTGATAACCCAGCACACTTTGTAAATAAACTCACTTGCTTGTATCAATTTACCATTTTATATATGTTATACAGGTTCACTTGTTAGAAAATGTTTTAGCTGGCTTTTCCTAGTGCAGATAATAAAATTACTGCTAACATAACTGATTCAAATATAACACAAAGCCTCCTACTCCTGCAAATTTAAATGTAAATTTAAACAAGTCAAACTTTTTTTGAGGAAAGGGATTATAATATGTTTTCCAGTATATTACCTCTTAATTTAATCTTTCAAATCTAAAGAAAAATATTTTTAAATTTAGTAACTTTATTAACTATTTTATGGTTTGAGAAGTTGTAGCTTTTTAATAATGAAAAATGTTAAGGTCAAATTTAGATTGAAACGATCAGAACTAAAATTAAAGATCCATTAGAAATAAGAATGCTTCTGAGATTATAAGTATATTGGACAAAAATAACAGTAACTGCATTTCCCCTCATTTCTCTTGTATAGTAGATTTTGTCTGTCATATCACAAGTGAGTTTAAATTTGTAGGAACTATGAATTTTATATTCTGAATTTTATAACCATAGGTGGTGGTTAATGTGACTCGTAAACATGCTTACAGATGATGAAAAAAAAAAATAAAAGAGCATAAAATAAGCTTACTGTTTCACCAATCTTTCCAACGTTTCCTTGATCTCCTACTTCTCCCTGTTGATAAATAATGTAAAGCTGTAAAAATAATTATTTTTCAAACAAGATCACTCATGACATTGCTTCCATTTTCATTTTTAATGTAATTAGTCAAAAGGTAAAAAAAAAAAAAAAGGTAAAACTTAGTTCATCAAAACTCTGTGATGGTATACCTGGGGAATGTCATCTTTCCACTCCTTCTATTCAAATGGTATTTACCTATTTTCTTAAATTACATGCTTCGATTTATGACTTTTAATAACTTTTAAAACATGCAAATAAGTTTTAAAATGAAATATTTGTTGAGGTGTACCCTGTAAGGGGCAGAGTGATAAGGGCTGTGGAAGATATTAAGAAGAATAAAAATAAAGCCTTTGCCCACAGGAAAGTGCTATTTGTTTCAGGGGAAAGGATCTCACAATGCGAGGCAGAATACAGGCCACAATTAAGTGGTAAGAGAGTTCATAGGGGCTTGCACACTGTGGGCTGGGAAAGCTAGCACTAGCTTCACTGGGGAAGGAATGTATATTCATTCATAACCTTAATTAGAGTCTATAGCCTCTAACACTCTGAAAACTCTAAGCTTTTCACCAATCGTTTGGTCGCAAACTTGACCTAACCTGAATTTATTTTTTAGCAAAGCTCGATCTGATCTGAGTGAGGCTACTCATCGTCTTGTTTATTTTAATTAATGTGAACATCCTTATGTTTCACCACAGAAATATTAGTGTTTCTAACTATGGTGTGCTTCCCATACCCTGCTGGCAACGTTAAGTAAAATATAGTATACTCACCATGTTATCTTTTGATAATTCAAATAGCAATGATTTCAGATAATAGATCATAAAACTGTGTATGAGTTGGACCCTGAAGAACAGGTGATACTTCACCAGTGATAAGAAAGGTCCATTTTTGGTATGAAAGGTAGAAGATTAAATTCAGGGTGCCACATATAATCTGACAGGAATGTAATCTTATTTATAGAAATAGGAAATTAAACCATCAATTTCTGTTTAAAAATTGGTAATTACAATTCAGTGTGGAATAGTAAAATGTTAAACTGCACTAAACAATATTGTAGCCACTAATGACATACAGAGAGCTACTAAGCATTGAAATTGGCTGGTGGGAACTGAAAAGTAATGTAAATATAAAATACACCCTAGATATTAAGCACTTTGTACCAAAAAATAATATATCTCGTTAATAATTTTAATATTGATCCCATGTTGAAATGATAATATTTTCATATCTTGGGTTAACTAAAATATATTACTAAAATTAATCTCACTTGTCTCGTTTTACTTTTATATTGTGGCTCACATGCGTGATTCATCTTATATACTCTATTTGATAGTGCTGATTTTAAGCACTAAAACCTAGTATTCACATGAGTAACCAATTTGAAATAATTTTTTAAAGACTATGCAAATTTTCATTTCATTTCTATATGCATACATTAAACAGTAAACACTGGAGCACTGTAGTAGTTTGTAAACCCTAGTTTTGACTGACAATTCACTAGATGGCTTTTATAAAATATTTGTGGCAGAATAATATATAGATCATTGATTTCCTTGTATTTCCCCCTCCTTATCCAATACCCCTCTCAAATTCTAAGGGAGATGGACAGTTTATGCTCTTTAGTGTTAGGGGAGGTTTGTGTTAACAGGTAGAAAGCAGAAGTCGGTTGCAGATTACCTGCATTCCTGCTTTAGTTTTCAGAGAGCCTGAAGTTAGGAAGTGAGTTGTCTTTGAGGGCAACAAGAGAGAGAGGAATATTTCCCCAGGCCTAGGGAGAGGACAGAGATCCTAGGGTTCTGTAAAAGGTGGTATGACCCTTAACCAACTCCCAAGTGCTCCCTCCAGGAGTGTCAGCATCCCTCAAGGGAATGCCAGGTTCTGGTCAATAGCTATATTACACACCAAGACTAAAATTTCAGGGACAAATACAAGGAGCAGGACATTAAAGACCTCCTTTATCTCCTGGCCATGCAGATGCTGGCATGATTCTAGGAGGGAGGCAGGATGTCAATATGATTAAGATTCAGTTTCTTGCCAGTTTAACTAGATGGTAGCTCACAGGTGGAATTTTTAGAGCTATTGGACAGTACAGAGATTAATCTCAGTCAAGGAGAAATAAGCTTTCTGTTGATAAATATCATGCTTCCATTTTTTGTATAACTTGAAAGTCAGGTACACATATCCTCCCCAGGATAATTTTAGCCACAGGCAGAGAAGCTGATACATTAGAAAATATTTTAGCTCATATTTCTTTATTAAGTAACCTAAAAAAATATTGTTTGGCTTTTCCTTAGATTCTAGTATCACAAAAATAACTGGTTTAATATAAATGATGAATTCTAACTTTAAGAAATTTAGCTATAGTGCTGTAAAGTTTTTTAATTTTTCCTTAAGTTTTAATTTTTTTTAATGTTTATTTTTGAGAGAGAGAGAGAGAGAGAGAGAGAGAGAGAGAGAGAGAGAGAATGAGTGGGGGAGGGGCAGAGCGAGGGAGACACAGAATCTGAAGCAGGCTCCAGGCTCCAAGCTGTCAGCACAGAGCCCGATGCGAGGCTTTAACTCATGAACCGTGAGATAATGACCCGAGCTGAAGTTGGACGCTTAACCAACTGAGCCACCCAGGTGCCCCAAATTTTTCCTTAAGTTTTAAATTTGTATAAATTGGGGTGCCTGGGTTGCTCAGTCAGTTATGCGTCCGACTCTTGATATCAGCTCAGGTAGTGATCTCACGGTCGTGGGACTGAGCCCAGTGTCGAGCTCCATGCTGAGCATGGAGCCTACTTGGGATTCTCTCTCTCCCCCTCCCCTGATCATACATGCTCTCTCTCTCTCTCGCTCTCTCTCTCTCTCTCTCTCTCTCAAAAATAAACAAATAAATAAACATGAAACCAATTGTATAAATCACCAGTTCTTATGAGCTAGTTTCTTTTAGTTCTTAGTATTATACATATAACCTGCTGCATGGCTTTATATTTGTTGGTGTTCAAGTCATTCAAAACTTGGAAACAAGGCAAAAAAGTAGGTGACCCATCCTTTCAGTGACAGTAAGTGGTGAAGGCCACCCCAGTGACTATCTAGGGAATTAGAATCACTGTAATTGCTTAAAGGACCCAGACTTTATGCAATGTAAATTATATATTATGTATATGTAAATTATATATTATATACATATGTAAATTATACATCTATATAATATATAGGTAAGGGTTCCTGGTGGCTCAGTTGGTTAAGGGTCTGACTCTTGATTTTGGCTCATGTCATGACCTCGTGGTTCATGGGTTTGAGCCCTTCAGTCAAGCTCTGTGCTGACAGTGTGGAGCCTGCTTGAGATTCTCTGCCTCCCTCTCTTCTGTCTCTTCCCTGCTTTCTCTCTCTCTCCGTCAAAAATAAATAAACAGAATAAACACACACACACACACACACACACACACACACACACACATATATATATATATGTTTAGTGAAGTTATATTTTAGATTTCTGTCCAGTGTAATGAACAGTTGGGGCCCCCAAATTGTGGTTTATTCTCCTGTATCTACCCACAAACTTTAACATCTCTTTTTTCAATTACGTATCTATTCAAATAAAGATACATATATAAACACAGTCACAGTCATAAATATTTATAGATAGATATATAGATATTGATATAAAGATATATGGCTTCTCAAACGCTATTTGAGCCAGTTGTAACATGTTACCGGTTTCCTCATTAATAAGTTGAATAGAATCTTTGACAGGTGTTCATATTATATTTTTATTAAAGTCATCATTTAAAATTTTTGAAAACTATACTTTACAACTGGTAATAAGTCAGCCACTTTACCTTTAAGCCTTCTGGTCCTGGTTCACCTGCATACCCCTTTTGACCTGGTTTTCCCTAGAAGAGAACAGGAAAAAAAAGGAGTTAACATTTAATCATTTTCATTTTTAGAAGTTTCCAAACATTTATGTAATTCAGACCATTCTATGAGATGAAATACTTCAAAATTATTTGATAAGTGTATTTTATCATACCCATTAGCCATGGGTATGGCTACAGTGTTTAACTGTTTACGGTATGCCCAGCACAGTTCTAGGGGTGGGGACTGGAAGAGTGCACGAAGCATACCTCTCCTACATAGAGCTTACATTCTAATAAGGATGATATAATATTTAAAAAAAATAAGTAAAACATATAGTATCTTAGGTAGTGGTAAAAGTGAAGGACACAAAGTAAAGCAAGGGAGGGAGATATCAACTGCTGTGGGGGTTTTGTTGAAATTTTTAATAGGAGTTCTCTGAGAAGGTGGTAATTGAGTAAAGACTTAAAGGGACAAGTTATTTGGCTATCTGAAGAAAGTGTATTCCAAGCAGAGGAAAAGAGCATGTGCAAAGGCCCTGAGGCAAGAATGTGACTGGTGTGTTGAAGAAACCATGAAACCATGAAACGTCAATGAAGCTGGAACAGAGTAAGAGGAAAAGATCAGTAGAAGATGAGGTCAAAGAAAGGAATGGGGAATGGGAAGCCAGGTCATGTAGGGCCTGGTAGGTTATACCAAGGGCTTTGCCTTTTACTCTGAATGAAGCATGAAGCCTTAGAAAAGCTTTGAGGAAAGAAGTGTCATTATCTATGCTTTAACAAGATCACTTTGATGCAAGAGCAGAAGTAGGCAGTCCAAAGAGGGCTGAAATAACCTGAGCAAAAGATGACAGTGGCATAGGTAGTAAGAGAGAAGGTTGTGAGAAGTGGTAAAACTGTGTATATAGTTTGAAGGCAGGGATTACAGGATTTGCTCACAGACTGTGTGTAAAATGTGGGAGAAAGAGAAGAGTCAAGAATAAATTCAAGATGTTAATCTGAGTAAGGGACTAAATGAAATGGAGAAGACTGTAAGAAGAAAGGTTTGGAGGGTAAATTGGGAGCTCAGCATTGGACACTGCTATTTGATAGTCTTGTCAGATACCTAAGTGCAGAGATCGTCTGATAGTTTTACATGCCCAGAGGTTCAGAGGGTAGAAAAATTCTGATCTAAACGTATGATTTTGGAACTCACCAGCATTTTGATGGTATTTAAAGCCATAAGACTTGACCAGCTTATCTGGTCCAGTGTAAACAGAAAAGAGAATAAGTCCACAAACCAAACCACTCCAAAATTTTAGAATTTGAAGAAATGAGGAAAATATGCAAATTTCCTACCAGAGAGTTAGGAGGAAGACCATGCAAGTGAAGAAAGTGCTTCCAGGAGGAGAGTGTGATCTTGTCCAATTCTGAAGATTATTGAGTAACATGACGACTAAAAAATGACCATTGAATTCCACAATATAGACGTCACTGATGACCTTAATGAGATGATTTGTTTTGGAGTAGTGGGGACCAGAATGGTTCAGCAGACAGCGTGAGGAGAAAAAATGGAAAGAGCATGTATAAACAATAATTTTTTTAAAGTGTATTTATTTTGAAAGAGAGAGAAAGAGAGAGAGACTGAGAGTGCAGGGGAAGGGTAGAGAGAAAGGGAAAGACAGAAAATCTCAAGCAGGCTCCGTGCTGTCAGTGCAGAGCCCAACGTGGGGCTCAAAACCATGAACCATGAGACAATGACCTGAGCCAAAACCAAGAGTTAGACGCTTAACCAATCGAGCCACCCTAGGGCCCTGACAATAAAATTGAGTATTTTTACTGAAGAGGGAAGGTGAAAAAGGTAACACCTGGAAGAAAACCTGGGATCAATATAAGTTTTCTGTTTTGTTTTTAAGCTGGAAGAAATAATAACATCTTTATTTTCTGATGCAACTGATCCATTAGAGAGAACAAAGTTATGATGCAGGAGAAAGTGGGAATAAGTAGGCAAGAGAATAAGATATGTAGTAAACAAGTAGAAGTTTGACCTTAGCTAGAAAAATGGCTGTTCATTCACAATAACAGGAGAGAAGGCAGAGTCAATGGCATAGATACAGAGAGGTGGGTAGAAGCAATACTAGAAACTAGAAAAAGAGTATGGAAATAGAATTCAGAATGCAATCAAAGGGACAATGTAGTGTTTTAAGCATGATGAGGAAGGATGTGAGGTTATGAGGGAAGTAGGAATAATGGAAAGGCAATAGGATCGATGGGTTAAAATTCTTATTGGGCCTGTGGGACTAGTTATAAGAGAAAATGTACTAGAAAGAAAGGAGATTATGGTTGGAGAGTGAGAAGTTTGAAACTGAAAATAAGGAGAAGCTGGTATTATTGGTAATGACAAGGTAAAGGTTATGACCACAGCAGTTAGTACCTAAAGAGAGCAGAGAATAAGATCACTGCAGGAGAGGATGTCAAGTCCTAGATATTGGGTAGATCGATCTACAGTATGTGGTTTCTAGTACTTAACAACTGATGTCTGATTATACAAAATTTGATGGAAAAGTGTGTGGGGAGATTGTTAAATATAATACTAATTTATAATATTTGCCAGGTATTATAGATTTGCATTTTGTTATTCCTATCCATTAACAAATACTTCCCTATTGTTCTTTCTTAAAACAAAACAAACAATTCTCCAGCTTTCATTGTATTTTGACTACATACAAAAGCTTTAGTAACTTTAAAATTATATTTAGGACTTCTATCCAAAAAGTTGTTCTAATTTTTACCTCTACCTTGCTTGAAATTGTCTAGTGCTTTCCTACCAAGCACAAAGTAAAGAATAAAAAACATCCTATTACTCTTAAGTGTCAATTGCTCTGTAATCAATTTGCAGATATAGGAGAAGAAATGTAATTAAGAGTCTAAATTATTAGATTAGTCTATGATATTTACAAAAAGAATTTTGAGTAATACACTTCATTCACATTGTTTTGGAAAAAGCCTTAGCAAGAATATTTCTTTCATCTTTAGTAATGTAATACTCAGACATTATAGTAATTAAGAAGTAGTTATACATCATCTCTACATTACAGAAGGAATCTCACTGGAATCTGTATCAGCCCATTTATAATCTCTTTGAATTCAAGAAATTCAGAGCATCAGGGCTGGAGTCATCACTTTGGGTCCTATTTAAATTTTGTCATATTAGCTTTCTCTTGAGCATGGAATGCTTGAGCATGTAATAGTAAATTAAAGACTTATTTTAATAGTTTAAAAAAATGTGGACAATGTCTCGCAGGGTTGTTTTCCAGATTAGAGATGATTCATGTAACATACTTAGAGCAATACTAGGCTTAAATTGATCTGAAACCAATGGAAGCGACAATAGTAATAAATATTAAGACTCAGTAGATAAGACGCAATGATGGCTCTCCTGAGTTCTAGAGAAGTAAATTTTAAATGAGTACATTTTAAAAGGTGCAAAAGAAAAAATTACTGTCTCCTTAAATGTAAAAATGTTTTAAGAACCTGTATGTTATGATGTTTCTCATAAGAAAGAGATGTAGTTCATGTGAGTCTAATGATTCCTCTTAAAATAAATGTGATAGACACACCTTAAGTATCTCATGATAATGTAAGTTTTGGTCATGAATGCCCAAATTCTTAAATAACTTATTTTCAGAACTTGAAAACAGGCCATTCGTATATTACTACACAATATTAACTGAAGAAAAAGTTGACAGAAAATGCATCTTATTTAGCTTTCCATAATTTTACTGGCACACTTAGACAACAGAAATTTCCAGAACATCATTAAAATGGCTAAGGCATTTAGCTTTCTATTACATTTTGAGAAAATTTATAAATAATTAGCTCAAATTACTAAGACCATAAAACCACTGTCAGAACAAGTAAATATGCAGTACGCATAATATCATTTAAAATATCCCTGGGAAATTCCAGTTATAGGCTTATATTATTTGGAGGGATTGTATGCTTATAGTATGTTTTTTTCCTTTGTTACAACTTAAAATTAGGTGCTATTAAAAGACAGTCACACAACAGTTGTTTTAAGAGAAGCACTTTTTGAAGAGTATTTATATGATACTTACTCTTGGTCCCAGTTCTCCAAAGAGTCCAACTGGTCCTTCTTCTCCCTTAGATAAAAATCAGAACGTTTCATGGCCTGAAATAACTTAAAAATGTAAACACTTATTCTATTTATTCTGAAACCTGAAACTCACTCTGAGATGTGATGAAAATAAAGCTATGGCTTGTTTGTATTTTAGAACTGTATCATCCCATAATGTTTTAATTTTTTCAGTTACAACACCACATCTACTCTAAGGGATACCTGTACTATTTGACTGTTTTTAAATTTGTAGATGGTAAAAGTAATATATAGAAAATTGAGAACGAATAAGAGTAAAAGTGATTAGGGTATCCATCACAAAATCAGGATATCTGACAAGGAGCTAATATCCAAAACATATAAGGAACTTATACGACTCCATACCAAAAGCCACAAAAATCCAATTAAAAAATGGGCAGAGGACCTGAATAGACATTTTTCCAAAGAAGACATACAGATGGCCTGGAGACCTATGAAAAGATGCTCATCATCCCTGGTCATGAGGAAAATGCAAATAAAAATCACAGCGAAGATTAACAATCACTGAGATCATAAATTAAGGATAACCTTTACCTTCTTGGGCTCAGTATCTCTTCCCACTCAATTAAGTTCTGAATAGATGGAAATTAATATCCATTGGTATATTAAAATATTATTGGCAAAGAATGCTTGCTCTTGGTACATTTTAATATTTCATTCATTTAATAAATATAGCTTTGATTCTTAGTTCTGTTTTAAGGAATAGAGATATAAAGGTATATCAGATCCTACCCAAATGGAACTTAATGTCTAGAGCTCTCTTTAGACTAACTTATAAGTCCAATGTCCTTGGGATCAAACCAGTTACAATGTCATAAAATATAAAATCTTGTGTATTCTTCTAGGATCAAAAAATGTATAGAGTAACATCAAAAAATAATTTTTATACATTATTCTTAAAGAAAATTAAAAAACAATAAATGTTTTTATTATATTTATTGACATATTTTCTAAATATACTGACTTTTCACCTTTAAATAAAAAGTTGATATTACCATATCTGAATAGCATACACAGACCTATCTAGCTTCATATAATCTACTTTATTTATTTGATCAACGAACATTTTTCTCAATTCACAATTCAATTAAAATAAAATTTCTTGGGTCACAAATATAAAATAGACACAAATAGTAAATATACATCCAAGTACATATGAGGGAGATTCTAGCTCAGATTCCTCAGACATTCCATGGAGATCACTGGCATAAATTATTTAATGAATTCACAACACTGAAAATGATTCCAAATCCCATTTCATAACTGCCAGTGTAAAATGGTAACTTAAAAAATCCTGTACGGCAAAAATTGTCCACACTAAAGCAATGTTTTCTTTAAGCAAAAAATAAAGTCCAAGGAAAAGGGGAATACTTGAACTAAAGCAATTTGACTGGGGTATTTATTTTTTCCATACCTGAGGTCCTTTGAGACCAGGAGGTCCTGGAGGTCCCCTATTTCCAAGGAGTCCCTATAAAAGAAACATAGGCACAAGCAAGAAAAACTTCAGCTCAATTAAGATTTTTCAATCAGCATTAATCTGGATATGGGCAATACAATTTGGTACCATTCTTTTCCCATTATGAAGTTATCAAATTGGGTCAGAGGGTAAGTGACCAAAAAGTATAGAGCATCTAAAAAATTGGGAAATGTAGTAAACTTATTCTTTAAAAATATGTTATCATTCAAATAATCTGCTCAGTATGTTTCTCTTCAACCAGACACAACCAGACACTCAGAAAAAGTACTTCTAAATTTAAAGCAATGGGTCCTGGGGCTCCTGGGTGGCCCAGTCGGTTGAGCTTCTGACTTCAGCTCAGGTCATGATCTTGCAGTTCACGGGTTTGAGCCCCCACGATAGGCTCTGTGCTGACAGCTCAGAGTCTGGAGCCTGCTTTAGATTCTGTGTCTCCCTCTCTCTGCCCCTCCCCTCCTCTTGCTCTCTCTCTCTCTCTCACTCTCAAAAATAAAATAAAAAATAAACATTAAAAAAAAAGCAATGGGTCCAATTGTTAATTTGATAATAGTACAACAAATACATAATACAGTATCCACAATGTCTAAAAACAGATGGAAGAGATATATGCTGTTTTAATATCCGTTAAGAGACTAGCAGAATCTAGGACACAATATTTGCACTAAATGTTCTTCAGTTTATTTCCCTTCTTAATACAAGCTGGCAAAAAGAGGAATTTGCAGAAGAAAGTAACAATCTGAATGTGATTAGCAATTTCACGATTAAAAGAAATCTGTTGTTACTCAAAATGCATGCTATTAAAAATCGAATGCTCTGAATAAAAATTCAGCAAAGTCACTTAAAAAAATCTTTCTACTTCAGAAAACACCCTGTACTATCTATTTAACATGGTGACATTTTTCTTATTCAGTTCTGTTCCTCTAACCATTCAATGTGTCAGCAAAGTTTTAAGTAAATCTCTTTTAAAAACTACCTTCTGCATTATTGCTTTTAGTGATTCTATAACCATTCAAAGATTTTATCTAATTTTTAAATGTAGTAAATAACTATGCCAAATAGCAAATCTATCCAGGTAGCTTTAATCATTTGTTCTGGAATGCAGCAAAGTGACAAACTGCACTAAAATCTTGTCTTCACATTATGCCTTGCTCTATCTTTGCTAAATTGCAACACAATCAAAAGGTGAAAAACTCTTGGTCAGTTTAAAAGTCTACAATATATTATCACAGGCTTATTATGTACATGGCGCCATTGGAGAAACTGCATGACCTCAGGCAATAACTTAATGTTTTTGTGCAGCTCTCTTATTTTTCATTGGAAGAGATGGATTAGATTATTGAAATGGGTGTATGTTGTTGTATGCAAGTCCAACATACATTTGTTTTTTTTTTTTTTTTTTTTTTCAGGCAAAAGCATCCTAATTTTACCTAGGGAAACACTTTCTCCCCACTCAGCCCACACGATTTGAAGGGAGGTGAGTCCATCCCTGACTAAATTTGAGGGTGGACATGTGACATGTACCTAAGTCAGCCAGCATATTCTACACCCCCAGAAACAGTGATTGGTTCAGTAATGAGCCAGAAACCCACCTCAGCCTAACTAAAGGAAATTCTGGACTACATTGGAACAGTTGGGAATAGCATTAAGGATGATGGGAAATCATGAAGGAGAGAGAGCCTGAGAATGAAATCCATAAATTAACACATAAAGAGAGTAGGAGTAATTGGATTCTAATGATATTGTTTGGGGTCCTGGATTTAGTTGTTTGAATTCCTAAACTTTGCTCATATTTATATAATCATGTTTAAGTTGCATTTTCATTACTTACAACTGAAAGAATTCTGACTGATACAATGATGTCTAACTCTTTAGTATCCAAAATATTCTTCAAGATCTCTAAGTGATAGGTTTTAAGTATTTAGACTGACAGAAGGTATAGAATCAATGCTATGATATTTAAGTTCCAACACAGGACAGCTAATGCTTAACTATTTAATTAATTCTTCATTCATTTTTCATCCAACATTTATTAATTTTCTATGTGTAAGGTATAATAAATAGCACATTAGACCCTGAGTATACAAATACAAATGAAACACAGTTCCTATTCTCAATGAATTCCTAATTTATTATTGATGATGGCACTTTAAAATAAAAAATAGTACATAAGAGTTGTAATCGAAGTAGAAGTAAAGTATAATGGGAACTCAGATGAAAGAGAAACATCTTCTCTGGGAGAGTCAGAAAGTTTGTAATATTTGCAAATAATTTTTTGCTGAGTTATCATCGGCTAACAAAGCCGATCATTTTTTTTTGTAGCATAAAAAAAGCAGACACTAAGAATCTATTACCAACTCCTGGGGCTCAAGACATTGATGAATATACAAGTTTCGATTAGTGTGTACGTGTAAGAAACGGACTCAGCTCCATATCCAGGGTGTAACTAGCTGATGGCTGAGCCATAAAAGAAAACTAAGTTCCCTTATTCTCTCACTGCAGAGAGAGGTATTTTTACCCTGCATAGGTGGTATTACTGACCAAGAAACAAAAAATAACTCTCTCAGGGAAGCAGATAAATCCAGAGCCTTTTTTCCTTTCTCTTCCAAGACCAATTTACAATCTTAAAAAAATTATAAAGGCAGAATTAAAAAAAATACTAGTTATATGCTGTTTATTAGAAACACAACTAAAACAAAAATACGGGGAGATTTAAAGTTCAGAAAAGTAGAAAAAGATATGCAAGAGATTCACCAGCTCAAAAAAGCTGAAATAATCATAGTAGTGTTACATATGATAGACTTCAAGGTAAGACAGATTATTAGAGTTAAGAGGGTCACTAAATAATGATAAAAGGCTATGTTCACCAGGAAGAGATGAAAAACTCTCAATTTTTATGCAACTAATAAATTCCACTACATGAAGTAAAAATTGATAGATAAAGATAAATTGAGTAATCTAATGTTAGACAGGGAAATTTTAACACATTTCTCAGAAATTACTAGATCTTGGCAGATAAAAATCAGGAACAGAGAAGACTGAAATAGCAAAGTGACCAATCTTGATCTAATGGCCATATGTAAAACACCGAATCCCCAAGATGGAGTTTACAAAGTCCTTACAAGCACACGTGGAAGATTTGTGAAAAGTAATCTCAAGAAAGAAATAAGGCCATAGATGAGTATCAACAGTTGCATCAATCACAAAATTGCAGTACATCTACATAGTGTGTTACTATATAGCAGTAAAAATAAATAAGCTGTAATTACATGCATCAGCCTAGAATATATGGGAAAGAAAAGACTGAGTGGCAGGGGCAAATCACTGAAGATTTAATGTACTATGGTTCTATTTATATTAATTTCCAAAACAAGCAAAACAACACATTGGTAAAAGTGTGGTAAAAGTATGGTAAAGTATGGCAAACACAAGGGAGTTGTTATCTATAAATGCAAGAAGGGAAGTGAGGGATACTTGAGAAACTTACAATGGTCTAATTCTTAACATTAATACAGTTTGTGTTATTGTCATTGTTTAAATTGTGCACATCTCATATTTATCATGTTAAACAAATTCTTTTTTTTTAATTTAAAATAGAATCTGAAGTCGAGTCTGGATATGGATTTCATCTCTGAAGCTTACTAGGGCTATAACCTGAGTTTCCTTATCTGTAGAATAATGTTACCATCATCATCATGAGGTTGTTACAATAAATAAAAGGGTACCTTGAATATAACAGAGACTCAATAAATATTAGTTTTCTTCTTATACATTGCATGTTGATTAGTGTTTACAAGTCTTTAAACTGATATTGCACTTATCTACCCCATATATTCACTACATTCATATTTAAATTTGCTATTATTGTTCTTCTGAAAACAACTCTTTCATCATTTTACTCTCAAAATCTTCCATAGAGTAAAAGAGTGGAGTTTCAAATGCAACCGAAGTCGTTATCAGCTTAAAATAGATTGCTATAACCTAAGAGGTTTCATATAAACCCCATGGGAACCACAAAGTATCTATAAAAGATACACAAAAGAAAACAAGAAAGGTTTTGAAGCATGTCACAGCAAAAAATTCAACAAAACATAATGGAAGACAGCAAAAGAGGAAAAGAGGAACAAAGAAGCTATAGGACACAAAACAATTACAATGAACAAAATGGCAATGGTAAGTTTTTCTTTATTAGTAATTACTTTTTAAAAAAATGTTTATTTATTTATTTTGAGAGAGAGCATGTGCAAGTGGGGGAGGAGCAGAGATAGAGGGAGAGAGAGAATCCCAGGCAGGCTCCACACTTATCACAGAGCCTGGCTGTGGGGCTCAAACTCACAACCATGAGATCCTGACCTGAGCTGAAGTCAAGAGTCAGATGCTTAACCAACTGAGCTACCCAGGCACTCCAGTAATTACTTTAAGTGTAAATGGATTAAAGTCTGCAATCAAAAGACTTAGAGTACCTGAATGGATTTTTTAAAAATCCAATTATATGATATCTACAAGAAACACACTGTAGACAACATATAGTGAAACTTGGAAAAAGGTGTCCCATGCAAATGATAACCAAAAGAGAACAGGTGTGGCCCTACTTACATGAAACAAAATAGACTTTAAGTCAAAAACTGTCATAAGAGACAAAGAAGGATATTAACTAATGACAAAAGGGTCAATTCACCAGGAAGATATAACAATTATAAATAAATAAGCACCCAATATCAGATACCCAAATACACGAAGCAATCATTGACAGAACTGGAGGAAGAAACAGACAGCAACACAATCAGTGCAAGAGATTCCAATGCCCTATTTTCAATAATTAATAGAACAAACAGACAGAAGTTCAATAAGGGAAACAGAGGACTTGAATAACACTAAAATCTAAATGGTCCCAATAGATAAAGAACATTCCACACAAAGCAGCAGGATGTATTTTCTTTTCAAGCATATATGGAACATTCGCCAGCATAGATCACATAGATCACATATTAGGTCAC